GTTATGTCCTGGGCACTATGTGATAAACGGGACTTTCAGCCCCGCTTATACCCAACTGCCCAGGAAATAACTATTATAGCTCTTTAACCCTTGTGATATTTCAGGAAAAGATAAATCTATTAAAAAATTATAGAAAATAACGCCGGTTGAGCCAGTTCCGTGAGTTTTTCATTATTCGGACTGATCCAGAAAAAAGCAACATTTGTATTTTCTGATATGGTTATCAATCATGTATAACATGGCAACAAAAATAGTTGCCTGAGTTACTTGTAAACATATTAACAAATTTAAATAATGACACATCTTTTGTGAAAGAAACGCGTTTATTCATATTTTTAAAAATAAACCTTTAAACATAAATATGATCCCTATTAAAAACATTCTCTAATTCTCGTGTAAGCCCGCCTGAGAAGAAAATTATTTCTAATAAGCACTAAACCCGCAAATAATCAAGAAGCTAGGTTCAATTATACTAGTGTAAGTTTATTTGACTTTTCACTTGCATCTTAGACCATGCAAAAATCAATTAATCAGGTTTCATAACACAACTAGATCAAAATTTGGAACCTTTTAAAAAAATTTTTTTATGTTTAACAACTGGCATCGTAATGAAAAAAAATTTTTTTATATAATTTTATATATGAAATTTTTTTTTTTAAAAAAAAAAAAAGGCCAGTCGGTTGAGTTTATCGAAAAGGTTTATATTATGAAAATCGTGTAATCGAATTTGTATAGTTTTACTAAAATAGAAATTCTCTTTTTAATATATTGGGTTTATAGTTCTTGTATTCTTGTCAAGTATTTCGTGGAAAAAGCTCATATCCCGTATAGAAATAAGTGGAGTAGATGTCTATTATGATCTTATTGAAGGTGATGTTACTACAAGGTTTTTGATGTCCTTAGCTCCGGCTAATGAAGAAGTTATCCAAGCGAAAAGAAAAGGATGAAGGTAAATTCCAGCCAGGGCATAAGCATAGAACTTAAATATATTTCAACAGGTGGCTTGTTGAAAGCAAGGTTAATGGTTATACTTATTCGGGTATCTATGATAAGCGAGAATCAGTACCACATGAAAAAAATAACTCAAGAAATCTAAGAGGTTCCTTATTTTGTTTCGTTCCATCTTGTGGTGGCCAGTGGATAGAATATTCAATTATGGATATTATAAAGCTTGATGTCTCAATTCATAGTACAATTTTTGTTATGTAATTTTATATATATTTAATATCTTAATAAATATCTTGTTACTAATTAAATAAATAAAATAAAATTAAGATATATGAATTAATACTATAATAACTATTGAATTACAAATAAGCGAATGGAAATAACTTATACACAAAAATAAATCAAGATGAATAAGTGATATTCTTATTTTAATGAGATACCGCAGTATGTGATTAAAGTCATATAAGTTTGCATTAGAATTTTCTTGGTTTCCACTATGAGCTACATAAAAAATTCTGTAACACTTACCCATTATTCTGGCATTAGAATTGTCTTAATTTTTATGTTGTTAAGTTAGTTTGCATTATTGAAGTTATTATTTCTTTCATAAAGAATTCTGTTACAAAGCCCACTATTTTTGGTGACTACAGTATGCGATTAAGGTCGAGTTAGTTTGTATAGAATTATCGTATTAGAATTATTGTGATTTTTACCATGAGTTACTGCAAAAAATTCTGTTATAAAAGCTCCTCGCTATTTTGGTGACTACAGTACTGGTTAAAGTTGAGGTAGGTTGCAGTAGAATTGTCTTGTGGTTGAGCTGGCTTGCATTAGAATCCTTACAATTTCGATCGCGAGTTACTGTAAACATTTTGTTGTTACAGAACTTGCTATTCTGATAATGATGAAAAGGTGAGTTAGCTTGTATCGGAATTATCGGAATTTCTTTCATGAATTACTATAAAAAATACTGTTACGAACCTATTTAACACATAATATGCAGTTTGTATTTGAAATTGTTGTGATCTATTTATATCATAAATCGCTGTAAAAAAAATTTCATACAAAACTTTGTCCGCTATTCTAATAATCACAATATGTGGTTGAATTAGTTTGCGTTGGAATTATTATGGTTAATATTGTGAGTTACTGAGTTACTGTAAAAAATTCTATAGCAAACCTTACTATTCTGGCGATGACTCACTAACGCATGTATAACGAACGAAAGTTAGTTTAAAAAAATCATAGATGACAACTGAGGATGTGAATAGTATTCACGTTTCAATTTTTCATGCTATAATAGTTTTATTGCAATTTGCAAAAAGATGTGACCCTACGATTTTCATGATTGTCTATTATCGGTATAGTGCTTTTGTGACCCATCAGGGAAAATTTCTGATTTTCTTAGAATCGAAAAATTGCCTGATTTCCCGCGACTTTATGTTAGGCCACACAAAGTTAATTTTCCGTTTTGCATTACCCGCCGACCATTTTTCGAATTTTTTTTTTTTTTAAGTTCTAATTGTGCCATAGTTCTATTTTTGCCATTTAATTTTTTCCCATAAATTAATCCGGTATCACCTGATAGAGAGTACAGGTAGGACCGTCCCAAATAAAGAAATGATGATCCCGATCATGCATGTTTAGTTTAGCCAATCAAAATTGTAA